CAAAAGTTAAACAGGATGGTGAACTACAGGAGCCATTGTAAATAAATAGATGACTGTTGTCTTACTCTAGTTTTTAATTTTAAGCCCACTAAACTGCTATGAGGGGCACTGATAGTAAGTTTTTCTCTGATAAGAACAGAAAAGACCAGGCATGGTGACTCACGCCTGTAATTCCAGAACTTTGGAAGGCTGAGGTAGAAGGATTGCTTGAGCCCAGAGTGTGAGCCCTCATCTCTACAAAAAAAATCAGAAAATTAACCAGGCATGGTGGTGCACACCTGTAGTCATGGCTACTCAGGAAGCTAAGACAGAAGGATCGCCTGATCCCAAAGGGTCAGGACTACAGTGAGCCATGATGGGGCCACTGCACTCCAGTCTGAGCAACAGAATGAGACCCTGACTCAAAAAAAAAAAGAAGAAGAAGAAGAAGAAAAACTAAGAGATGGTTTTAAAAGGTGTTTTTATAAATGAGATATCCTAACTTTTTTTGGTTTAATTTCCTGTTTTAAGTTTCAGGCTTCAACTCTTGTTTTAGTTAAGAATTTCACCTTCTCTACTCACACCTTTTAGATGTGCTGCTATCACAGAAGAAGAATTCATTTGTTTGAGTGCCATTGCCTTCTTCTCAGTCTGTAATGGAATGTTTAAACGATGGTGTGGCAAAGAGTCAGGTGCAGACGGCTTGTATTACTGAGCAGTTGGTTAATTGTTTCTGGAGTAATTTGGATAATATTCCATACACTTGCTAAGAGGGCTAGTAAGTCAAGTTTACTCTTTGACTGAGTTTTCCACTTTGTAATCTGCTATAGTTTCTCATCAAACAGTATACAAATAACCATTCCAAAACTGAAACGTGAACCTGATCTTTGCTTGTGTTCTCTCATTTGATGATGAGCTTTTTATGTGTATACGGTATTTAAGATAAATACAGATCTTTATTCTTATATCCTGACTTGGACAATTATAATGTATATTTCTTGACTATACATTTTGTCATTCTTGTGCTTTGTGATGTACCTGTGTAGTGAAAAAGGTTTTATTTAGTAAATAATTTCTAATTAGGTTTTAAAAAACCATTTTAGTCCAGACATGGTGGCTCACACCTTTAATCCCAGCGCTCTGGGAGGGTGAGATGGATTACTTGAGGCCAGGAGTTTGCAACCAGCATGCACAACACAGCAAGACCCTCTCTCTACACAAAACAAAAAACACAGGCAAGTATGGTGATGTGTGCCTGTAGTCTCAGCTACTTGGGAGGCTGAGGCTGAAGGATCGCTTGAGCCCAGAAGTTCAAGGCTGCAGTGAGCTATTATTGTGCTACTGCACTCCAGCCTGGGTGACAGAGTAAGACTCAAAAGAAAAAACAAAACAAAACAAAATGGGGCAACCCCCTCGGGTCCCCTCCCACTATGGGAGTTTTTCTTTCTTCTTAATAAATCCTACTTTAAAAAAAATGAAAGATCATTTTAGTTATTTGGGTACTGTAGTGAAAAGGTCACTGGACTGAGAGTCGGGAGTATTGGGTGGTGGTTCTGCCTGTCTGTGCCATCTAGTAAATGGCATTTTATACAACGTCAAGCTGGGGAAAATTAATTTCTAAAAATAAAAACTGAATTCAAGAGTTGCCTTGTTTGAACAAATGGAAGCCATTATATGTTTGTGAATGAATTAAGCGTATAGGAACTGCATTGGGTACAACAATTTATTTTATGTATAAAACAATCTTGAGCGTTGTTATTCCGGATACCACTGTGTCCCCTGCATTCACTGTATCCTTTTCTTTCCACAGCTCCTTACTTGTTTCCCCAGGTAACTCCCTCCATGTGTCTCCCAGGGCTTCCTCTGGACATGCAAAATGCCATATTGACTATACTGCCCCTTTACTTATTTCTCAGAGACCCAAAAAAATATTCACGGGTAAAAGTGGCTTCTTCCTTGTGAAAATATAAAGCTTATCATCTCTAGATCTAGAGCATATTCCATTCTGCTTTAGAATGATCCCCTATATGAGTTTAAATACAATTTCATAATGGCAATATAATCTCAGGACTTCATAATTTTTAAAACTTTAAATAAAATGCATTTGTAAAATTTAATTGTTGCTGTTGCACAGTGTTATTAAATAGACACCCATGAAAAACATGGTATTGCATATCACATTGGTAATAAGAAGATGCTACGTTGTAGAGTCTCGTTTGCACACTAGTTGCTACCTCTTTGTTTCTGTAGCAACAGTATGCTACACCTTTGATGGTAGTTAGCTAGGATTATTCTGTAGTGCCCAGTTTAAATCAGCTATGTTAGGTAAAAGAAGAAGCAAATGCTTATAGCATCATTTATTATACTGAAATTTATTTTAGATGCTATGAAGGTAAAAATGACATTTAAAAATTAATTCATCAGGAAAGTTTTCTGGGCTTGAAATATACTTTGAGTTTGTGGTTTTTAAAATATTAATATTTTTGAGATACTGGTACATTCTGTATGCAAAAAATGCTACAGTGACTAAGAGACTTGAAACATTTAGAATTGAAAATCAAAGGCATGCCCAGATGGATTTTTTCTTTTATAATTCTTTTTATGTGTACTAGATTTGTGTGTATTGTATGACATTGGGTATGTTTGCCTGAATTAATAATATGAAAAATATCAAGGACAAAACATCAAGGGCTCAATATTCTACTACCTATTGATGTTGATTCTTTAAGCCTGAAAAATTGTGTTGTATCTTATTGACTTTAATCTCTCTGATCTTTATTTGTGAGTGATTAAATTCTGAAACAACTCAGTGAAGTACTTCATTCTTCAGTGATGCTTTCATTGAATTTGCCTTTTCTTAATATAAATAGTTTTCAATGTTAGGTAGATTATCTGGTGCCTTCAAAGCCTAAACTTAACAATATTAATGGTGTATTTTATATGTCTCCAAAATTTCTGCCATGTGAGAGGCAAATAGTTTCGAATGGTAAAGATGGAAGGTACTTTGAGAGACTACCTGGAGTCTAGCATTCTGTCTCCAGTAATGTTCACTAAGAAATACCTAGTATCTTTCTTTACAAACACCCAAGCATTGGCTTGCTTTATTCTAGCTGGCCATAGTGAAGAGTGATACTATGAATAAAAAGTATTTGAATATTTTTAAAATGTATGTATTTTAAAAGTCTTGTCTCCTTTGGGAAATAGTCTTTTCTTTATTAATAGCCTTTTTATGTTGGGAATTATCATGAATAGGTTTTTCTCATACTTGCTACAATTGAGACTTAATATTTTTCTAACAATGCAGACTGTGCCTCTAATGGAAAGTGTGGTGAATTAAATCTGGATAATAAAAGCTAAGCATTAAATAGACATTACAATACAGTATTTACTATTTTTGGAATTTTTGAACATTAAAATACTTTAAGTAAAACTTTTTTTAAAAAAAGATGGTTTAAGCCAGGCTCGGTGGCTCAGCCTGTAATCCCTCACCTTTGGGAGGCTGAGGTGAGTGGATTGCCTGAGCCCATGGGTTCGAGACCCGCCTGGGCAGCGAGACCTCATCTCTACAATAAATCAAAAAATCAGCCGGGCGTGGTAGCGCATGCCTGTAATTCCAGCTACTTGGAAGGCTGAGGTGGAAGGATCGCCGGAGCCCAGCAGGTCGAGGCTGTGGTGGCCAGGAGCGGCCACCGCACTCCAGTCTGGGCGACAGAGTGAGACTCCAACTCAAAAAAAAAGATGGTTTAGAACACTAAGTAAGAAATCTGTTTACTTTTCACAGGTCATCAGTACGTGTGTATATGCGCATAACTAATTTTTATCTGTTGAAACAGAAAGGAATGTGTTGCTGTCCTTTAAGGAATACTTCTCAAGAACATAAAATCCTTAAAGTACTAACATACTAATGAATAATGAAACTCACTGAAAAGTAAATGTCTTTACAAATCACTCTGAATATTTTATGGTTTTATTTCTCAAATCTTTTCCTTAATGGTATAGAGTAGGTTTTCTTAAATAGTAGCATGAAAGTGCTATTGATAAAATGTTATTAGTTAACTTTTCCCTTTTTGGTAGCCAGAAACAGGGTTAGAAGGTTTGGGTTACTGAATTATTGTCACTCAAACCTCTGTTGCTTGCTTGAATCACAACCACCTTATTGTGTTGACAATTAGTAGTTATTGATGACTTAGTTCTTATTAAGCACAGACTTTCTGTCTGCATAGATAGATATTTGCCACTAAAGGAAAACGTGCTTGAATTTATACTGCTAGCTTTACTCACAGGCTTAACGTGGACACAAAGTTCTTCATGCCACTGTCATTAATTTTGTAGCAGAACTACAAAGAAAACAGCTTACACTTACATTGTGTGTTACCATTTACAAAGTGCTTTGATTTTTAATACCAAGCCCTTAAAGCAGGTAGGGTGGGCTTTTCATAAGCCTCATTTGTCAATGGGAAAAGTCAGGCTCAGTGATGAAGTAACTTGCCCCGAGGTCACACAGAGAAGTAGAATCAAAACGTGATCCTAGGTTTTGTGTTTGAAATTCCTCTCCACTATATGGCAGCCTTCTCTGTGTATTCATCTTCCTTATCCTCCCAATACCCTACAACAACAACAAAGGGATCAGAAACCTAAGACCAAATTCCATGCTTTAAGAAGTCCCTCGTCTGCATGCTTAGTGCTGTGCCTGGTCCTGTGGTCGACAGTTTATGCCCCTCATTTGTTTTCAGGAATGTGCACCTTGAGAAACTGCACATTACCACCTGGCACAAGGTATACCCATCTTTTAACACCGCTACTCTTGTTTTCTTACATGGAAAACTGGTGCATATTAATTTGGATGGCAATACACAAAGAAAAACCACTTTTAAAAAGAATAATATATTTTACGACACATTTAAAATTTTTATTGTAGTAGAAAGAGTTGTTGAATGTTATTTTTATCCTTAAATAAAGTGAGCTTATTATTTTGTCCTAAACTGTCCTGCTACTTCAGATTTGTCATTTTGGCTTTACAGCAGTTAGAAGAAAAAAGTGAAGATCAAGAAGACAAGGAATGTTTAAAACAAGCAATAACAGCTTTGCTTAATGTTCAGAGTGGCATGGAAAAAATATGTTCTAAAAGTCTTGCAAAACGAAGACTGAGGTGAATATTTTCACTTTTTAAAATATCCTTCTTTTCACCTTGAATATTGTGGTATAAATTCAGGGATCCCAGTTCCCTCCTCAAGTAAACAATGAAGAAAATAGTTTTAGTGACAAGCCTGGTCTTTCAGAGGAAGTGACATCAAAGCCAAGAGAATTGTTATTGTTTGAAAAACCTTTCATATTTGTGCATTTTCCTTGCATACTCCCACACAAGACCTCCTGAGAGTCAACTGGTAAGCTAAAGGAGTGATAGAATAAAATGTACTGGGTAGATTTATGTCAGCATCATTTTTCAATTGAAGTAAAACGACTAGTGTCCTTTATTTTAGGGATGATATGACTTGAGGCATTAATTCAGATAACATTGCTTCCACTTTCCTAATTATAATATGTGCTGCATGTTTTAGGCTTTGGATCTTCTCCATTTAAACACTTCTAAATAACTTAATCTTTTAAATTAATTTTTAAAATTGTGTTAGGCTACTTTTTAAATATTTGTCATTCTAAATATTTAGTAGAACTCCAGCTTCCCTGACATCTGTGTACTAATCGTGTCTTTCCCTTTATCCCAGCGAGTCTGCATGTCGGTTTTACAGTCAGCAAATGAAGGGGAAGCAACTAGCAATCAAGAAAATGAACGAGATTCAGAAGAATATCGATGGCTGGGAGGGAAAAGACATTGGACAGTGTTGCAATGAGTTCATAATGGAAGGAACTCTTACACGTGTAGGAGCCAAGCACGAGAGACACATATTTCTCTTTGATGGCTTAATGATTTGCTGTAAATCAAATCATGGGCAGCCAAGACTTCCTGGTGCTAGCAATGCAGAATATCGTCTTAAAGAAAAGTTTTTTATGCGAAAGGTACAAATTAATGATAAAGATGACACCAATGAATACAAGCATGCTTTCGAAATAATTTTAAAAGATGAAAATAGTGTTATATTTTCTGCCAAGTCAGCTGAAGAGAAAAACAATTGGATGGCAGCATTGATATCTTTACAGTACCGAAGTACATTGGAGAGGATGCTTGATGTAACAATGCTTCAGGAAGAGAAGGAGGAGCAGATGAGGCTGCCTGGTGCCGATGTGTATAGATTTGCAGAGCCTGACTCTGAAGAGAATATCATATTTGAGGAGAACGTGCAGCCCAAGGCTGGGATTCCAATCATCAAAGCAGGAACTGTTGTTAAACTGATAGAGAGGCTCACATACCATATGTACGCAGGTAAGAAGGACCAGGCAGGCTGCCTGTCGCTTTTGTTTTCTGCTTCAAACTGGTATTCTTTGCTGCCCGGGCTATTGTGCCCCAAACAAAAGACAAACTAACAACCAAAGACCTCTGTGTGATTAGGGTGCGTTTTCTTTGGCTAAAAATACCACCACTTTATACTTCTTTGGAATTTTGTACTTTTTCTACCATATTTACATAAGTTATTTTTAACCTTACAGTCAGTAACAGATGAGAAAATGAGGTCACTTGACAAAATGTACCCAGTTACAAAGCAACAGAAACTAAAGTTAGCAACAAGTCATCATTATTGCGGTCTAAAAAGTTGTTTTTTGTTTTTGCTTTTGTTTTCCTGCTTTTTCTTTTTTCTTTCTTCTCTTTCCATTACAGAAATTATAAAATAAGTAAAAATGTTAATGTGCATTCATCACCAAAATTCTGCTGGTAGTACAGATCTACACAGCATTGCTTCTTTTCAGTTTCCATTCCTAAACCTATTAAGTGTAGCAATTCTGCAAGCCAAGGATTCCAGTTTTATTATAGTTTTTCACCTAGAAACTTCTGTAATCAGTGTATTCATTTTACTGACCCAAAAATTAAAAAATGAAAGTACAGGAAATTTAAATAAGTTAGTATTTTATGTGAAAAGTAGATAAGTTATCTTTTTTTACATACAAAGCTGTTTTTGAGAGGTACAATTTTCAGTAATTAGTATGATCTACCAGTTTTATTAAACTACCAAAAATTTGTGGTTGCAAAATAGTTATTTCTTTGCTACTTCTTAAGGTATTTTTAAGGTCATAAACGATCTCTTTTTGCCACATTATCCTGGTTTTTAAGTTACTGGAAGATTCGTAAGATTTTTATAATATAAGCATTTGAAGCTGTTACCATTTCATCTTAAATACCTTTGTTTTGGGTTCTTAGACTTTTGAGAGTAAAATTAATCCTTAGATTTTTATATGTGTTTGTGAGACAGAAGTTTTCATTTTTTTCCCCCATAGAGCATTATAAGTGGCAGCCACTAAAGAAGACAAAGTTTAAGTGTTTACTGTCACACATTAGTGACATACTTGGGTTGTAGAGCATTTTAAAATTCCAAGATGCTAAAATAGTTTTTTCTATACATTGATTGTTAAAGGTAATTTTCTTTAAACTGCTATATTTCACAAAATTAATTTATAAATAGGCAATTGCAAAACTACAATTAAATATTTCTTTTCTGGGGAACTATGTCTTTTGTTTATTTTTTTGAGTGACATTTTCAAGCACACTTCACTTGAATAAGCTGATAGTTTTCTGTAGTCTTGGCAGTTTTCTTTCCTTGATGTGCACAATGCTAACTTTTGTCTAGATGTTTCATTAGTTATTTCTGATAGTTGCTCTCTTTATATCATTTTTTAGTTTCTGAGTATAATAAAACTTTGCTTTTACTTATAATTAATATTAAACACTTAAATTTCAAGATTTATAGAGTTTATAGGGCCAAAGTTAAGTGCAGTGAAGTTTAAATTGATGAGATTATTTAGCTTTTTCTTTTTTTAAGTAAAATTATTTCCAGTAATTTCTTGAGAAATAAAATGCCAGTGTTGGGCTGCGTTTTTGACATTTTTCTTTTCTGCCTTCTTTTGAAGTTTAACTGAATATCTTAATTGAGTATTCTAATGTCATAAATATAGTACTGGTGAGACTGGACTGTACAAGCTTTCTGATTTGTGGTTTACAGTATACACAAATTAGAGTTAACTACTAGCTTATCTGGGCTGTTCCATAAGGTCTGTTATTGAACTTATTTCTGGCAACATAGAATGTGTTTTTAATAGGCCATCTATGAACTTGTAAAATGTGAAAGCAGTTATTTTTAAGGCCTCTTACGGCCAAAATGGACTTCTGAGTCCTTGCTGGGATGGCAATGGGTCAGGTGACCATTTGCTTTAGGAAATACCGGTCTGCTCTTCTTTCTCCAGCCTCCCCAAAGAAAAACGGGATTTGGGATTTGGTTGGTTGGTTAGTATGTACATTTATTGGAGAACATACAGGAATAGGTAGGGGCTTACACCGAAACAAAAGCTAATAAAAGACACTAGGTATAATACATGAGAAAATTTAATAACATAGTATGAGACACCCCTTACAGACATCTTTTAGATTATTGTGGTTTGGTCAGACATTATCATAAAAACAGAAGAGAACTTAGTTGACCCTTATTTAATTCAGACTTCACTGTGGCTTCAGCCAACTTTATCCCTCAAGGGTTTTAACAGTAATATACAAAACGGAGCTAAAGATCTCTAGTGTAAGAGATGTGTAAACTTTCACTTTCACCCAAGGCCCCTGAAGGATATATGATTTGCCATGAATTTTATTTCTGTTAATTTCAGAAAAAGGATTTGAAATTAGGTTTCTTGACTTGATAGAGTGTATTCTTCACCATGTTACACTGACTCAGGGTGATTTTTTTGTTAATAGAATGTGACATAATTTTTTAATTATGTGTTAAATAATAAAAATAAAGGGAATTACTTCCTTGGTTTGAACTGCCAGTAATATAAATGGTTTGTTCATTTCTTGGTAAGCATGGATCTATTATGAAGATATAGTCAGAGTAATTGTTTTTTCTTGTTGAAATAGGTAATAGGAAAATTTTAACTATAAGTACACTTTCATTGTAATGTATAGATTTTAGTGTACAGCTAGGTCATCATTTTAGTTTTTGACAAAACCCCATCAGTAGTTTATTTATTGGTATACTTTGCTCTGTAAAAGAAAAGCTTTCTAGAAAGACATTTTAAAATTAGAAATCGGTTAACTTGATTTATCTCAAATACTAGGGGAAAAATTACCCAGTTGAACAGATCATTCTAAATCTGGCAATGATATGAAGAGACCGTTTCTTTACGTAAAGCACAAAGCAGGGTGCACAAAGAAAATGAGTTAAAAGTAGGCATTTCACTTTTGCTGCAGAGTAGTTATGGGCAATAAAGTACAAATAGCTATTGAGACCTGAAACAACATCGGTAGAGAAATGACTGGAGGGTGATTTGTCCAGTTTGGTAGTCTAAGGGAGAAAAGTGAGATCACCTTGAAGTAAGGATAATACTTGCGAATTGACGTTTTATAGAAAATAAAGGCTTCGCATATTGAAGTGTGGGGAAAGGGTGTCTCTCGTGCATGGTGAATTTCTCCTTTACAGATGATGGTACTTAAAAATTTGTCTTTTACAGATGATGGTACTTTAAAAACTTAAGCCAGAGATAGTTCTCTTTAAAAGTATTTACTGCAATTTTATGTCTTCATGTAGAATATTCTCAAAAACCTGCTTTAGATTTCTTTTGAGTTTGTGTCCTATATAAGCTCAGTTTGGGTGCTTTAACAATTTTTAAAAAATCTTTTGAATAATTTTTGATCTATAGGGCAGTACTGTTCTATTTTTAAACTCTTCAGACTTTTTTTTAACATTTGTGCGTCAGCATAGCGTCTGTTTCCTTTTTTAAGGAATTCAAGAGTGATTGTTTATAAATCCTTGTTGAGCAGCTTATTGTTTCTTGTAGCTTTTTAAATGGCTGTATTAAAGGGAGAATTATCACATGAACAGACATCCTGATTAGCAGTGTTTTACTATAGTGGTTGGGGGAGGGGTGTTCTTTACATAAATAACTTTTTATGCAATTAATATTTCACAAATCTGATTGACTTTGCCAGATGTCAAGTGTCAACGAAAATAGACACAAAGGATAGATACTGGTCATAATTTTATTTTTTGACAAAACCTCAAATCTAATGTTACATTCTGAACACTAATGTAGGTATATTCTGAGTTCCTAAAATTTTGAAGAATTGTGCAGAAGAATATCAAAGAATGATTTTACAGTGAGGGAGACAGGCAGCTAGAACACCAGCAGAAAATAATAACTGCAACTCATGTTTTAAATTACCTAGACCTAGGCTAGAGACTTGATAGTAGAGTTGGAAGGTATTTGTACAGAGAGCTTGTGTTGAGGAGAAATGAAGTAGCTGGTGACTATGGTGAAAAATCTTTGGGCAAGGATTTGGGGGTTGAGTAGCAGAGTAATGTTACTGATAATGATGGGGTGGAGACAAACTGTAGAACAAGTTTTTGTTGTTGCTCATGTTGAAATCCATCAGGGTGTTATGTTTGAGAAAGAATGTTGTGGAGAACTTTTTGTTTACCACTTGGAAGCTAGTGATAATCAGAGGAGAATATCAAACAGGCTATTTTTTACGTCCTCTCAAACAATTGTTTGTTCATGTTTATGTTTTAAAACCACACCCAGCCTGGCCTTTGATTTTGTGTTTGCCTTCCATCTGTCTCTGAAACGTGGTTTTAGAATATAGGTAATTGCTCCACAACTAACAGATGCAGTATAAAACTTAGCTTATATCATTGCCTGATAGGCGGAAGTAAGTACTTTGTCCCCTTACAAAATTACATAACCTGTCCTTACTGCTGGGTATTTTGTATATCAAGTTATCTTAGTCCTTTACATCATCAATAGATAAATGTCTCCAGAGGCTAGTGTGATGTGGTATATGTTACAGTCATTGAAACAGAAAAATTAATGCAATAGAAATAAAAATAGCTTCTGGGATATGTATGTTTCTGGATAAAATTTAAAATATATGTATTATACAATTTTTCATTCCTTTAGACTCAAAATAGAGTCTATATAGATTAATACAAGTCTGGGAATATATGTAGCCTTAAAGATTTTATTTTGAAAGTACTTAAAATTTTGCCAAATTTTCTTGGTTTATTTTTAGTTTCTGCTGTTTTCTTTTTGTTTTTGGCAAGATTGCTCTTACTTCCGATCAAGCCAAAAACAACTTAAACTTGAGTCACTCTAGAACCTAATACAACAGAGGTAGTTGTGGGAGTGTTTATTTCACTGCCAGCACCAGAAACTCCTCTTCTGAATACAGTGTACAGGAAGGTACAGCTCTACTTCCTAAAATCTGGAAGAAGGCTTATCAGGAGCTACAGAATCACGGTTAGACTGCTACTTTTTCAGTGAATTTCTGGTGCCTTTAACCAAGATTAGCAGTTACAGCTATATTCTGTATTAACTGTTGGTGTAAATTTCAGTGGTGATTATGTAACTCATGTATCGGTTCTTTATGTTTCTATCTCACAATTGTGGAAACCTTAAAGGTTCCTTTGATCCAGGGAGACTACATGATATGGCAGAAAAGAATGCAAATCAGGGTCCCACGATCTAGGCTCTGGCTCCATCTCTGCCCTCAACTGTGTGACCCTGGATAAGTCTCGGCTACTTCTGTTGCTGCCCTACACACCTCACAGAAATCATATGCAATAAACTGAGATAGTTCTTTGAGAATGTTATGTAACAGGAGTCAGAAATTAATGGGATCCCTTTGACTATGGCACCGAGGCATGTCATAGTTTTCCCAGCACTAGAATCAGTTTCTTTCTACAACACTGAAATGGCCAGCAGCTTTGGCTTAGTGAGATTAAAAAGTCCACTTTAAAACAGCCTGCCTTTAAAAATAGCCACAGTTTTCTTAAAACATACTTTAATTCGCTTAGAACTTGCTTTATTCTGTCTTTTAATTCAAAAGTACCTTTGATATCCCACAACTTTTTAGTCTGACTTAAGTGGCATCTGAGAAGCGGATCTGGATGGGTGCTGATTTTAAACTTTTCTTTTAAAATGGGGTGGGGGAGACCCTAAATTCAGAACACAGCTCAGGTATGCCTGGAGCACTGCTGAGGGTGTGTGACAGCGACGGCTCAGCATCTCTATAGGGGCCACTGCGTCTGCTTCCTAAACATGCTGTTTCAGTAGCCTCACCTTACAAATAGATTTGCAGAACAGGAAGAAGATTCTTGAAAGGGAGGACTGTGATGAAACCGATAAAAATCTCTGTTTTAAAATCTTGTACAGCCTTCTGTTTTAATATCTTTTCTTCTGGATGAGACATTAGTCTTTAACTTTTGAGGAACTCTGGAACTGAAGACAAACAATAAAATACCAACAGAGAGGAAATTATTAAAGATTATATGTATTTAAATTACTTTTACAGTAACCCACTCTAGCCTCAGAAAGTATAAAGCTAAAGGTGATGGGGCATTTAAAATCAATCTATTTTTGTTTTGTAAATTTTTGTTTAACTTAAAAAGGTATTATAAATTTAAATTCAAGGTTGCCCGATATTTAAGTTCATTCATTACCTTTACCACATACACCAACAGACTGGGAATAGAGTTCTGTTTTATGATAAATCCATGAATTTTCTTTTTGGGGAAAAAGTTACTGTATCATAAATGTTTTATGGCTAAATTCCAGGTGGTTCTTAATCAGAGTCAGCCTAAATAAGCATTATCCAAACACATTCTGATTTTACTAAATCCTAATAAAAGACACTGTACTTCTTATAATACTTTAACCCACAGTGTGTAGCCTAGCAAAAATAAAGGAATTTGCTTCCCTCAATGAATTTACCATTAAATTACAGTTTACCAATCCATAACATAAACAGGAAAAGAATGCTCCCAGTAAAACACTCAAGTTAGTGAATTTTCCCCTCTGTCTTTTAAAGACTCTTACAATTAAATGTGGGCCTTGGTAAAATTTGAGTTAGATGTAAGATGTGGGCATTGTTTTTGTTTTGTTTTGTTTTGTTTTTAATTGTGGGAGATGCCTTTCTTCCTCTTTATGCACAAGACGACAGCCCAGGTCTCTTGTGCTGGTGACAGCAGTAGGCCAGGCTTGGGGAAGTGATCACACTCAGTCAGCCTCCTGTGTTACTTCATGCAGGGGGTTGGAGACTCCTGTTCATTGTAACTACTTGAAATAAAAGGAATTAAAAGTTGGGAATAGGACCAATCCAACATATTCTAACACATTTAATAGTTTTAATAGCTTATAACTATTTGTAAACATGTTTAGAAGCTGAAAGATCTCTAGCAAATAAAATAATTTTAAACCTTTTTAATTTCATAGACCCAGTTTCTAGTTGTATGCTCTGTTAACATGATTTTTAAAAATCTGGATAACTGGCCGGGCTCGATGGCTCAGCCTATAATCCCGCGCTTTGGGAGGCTGAGGTGAGTGGACTGCCTGAGCCCGTGGGTTCGAGACCCGCCTGGGCAACTTGGCGAGACCTCATCTCTACAATAAATCAAAAAATTAGCCGGGTGTGCTAGCGCATGCCTGTTGTTCCAGCTACTTGGAAGGCTGAGGCGGAAGGATCGCCAGAGCCCAGCAGGTCAAGGCTGCGGTGGCCGGGAGCGGCCACTGCACTCCAGTCTGGGCGACAGAGTAAGACTCCAACTGAAAAAAAAAAATCTGGATAAAGTAATATGGATGTCAGGAAGAGTAATGGATTATTACCATGGCCTTTCTCTTTACCAGGGAGGTAAACCTCTGGGTGATACTCTGAGACCCTGGAGCCCGTGGAGCCTGCTCGGCCTTTGCCTTTCTTGCCTGCACTCTCCTGTGGACGATGATGAGTTTAAGACTAGCTGGTCAGAGTATGCAGAGGGCAAGAACTAAGTTGATGTCAAGCTTTAATATCAATGTTTTTGCCACTAATATAGGAAGAACAAAAGCCAGCAGTACACTGCAAAATCCACAAGCATTCTACCTGTCAAAGCATTTTAGGACTTTCTAAATGAACTATTTATTTAGTCTCTTTTGAAAATATAACAGCTTTAATCATTCTGAATCAAAGACTTTAATATTTTTTCCTTTTTTTTCTTAGATCCCAATTTCGTTCGGACATTTCTTACAACATACAGATCCTTTTGCAAACCTCAAGAACTACTGAGTCTTATAATAGAAAGGTCTGTCCATTTAAAAATATTTAAATTCCTTATTTTTAAAAAGAGATCTTATGCTTCTCAGAAATATGTTAGATGAGCTTTAAATTATAGTTTATGAGTTCTTTTTCAATAAATAAAATGTCTCTTAGATGATTATTTTACAATAATATGTTAGCTTTCATTATTTAAATACAAAAACAGGTATTCTTTTTTGTACATAAAAACTCAATATTTGAAATTTCAAATTTATAGAATTAATCAAGTTAAAGATCTATGTAGAAATGTATAATTTGGACTATGGAAATTTAAGTTTTGATGATTTAGATGTTCTAAACAGAAGTTTTCAAATATACCTCATATTGAGTACAGTGGAGCTTGCTGATGAACAGATACTGACATCAAGCAAAGTGTTTCATGCATCCACATGAAGAGTGGTCAACTTTTTAGTACTACCCTTACAAATTATTGTGTTAGCTGATTTAGAGTAATTCTACAAACCAGAAATGAACATCAGTGCCATAACGTTACAGTCACATTTATTTTTAGAATTTGCAAGTATTCTTTATTATATTTCTCGTTAGTTATCTATATTGGCCAAGTACTAATTTCTTTTTAAAATTTTAAAATAATTTTATTAGCTTTTATGTTATAGAAGTCTCACTTGTTTTCACTGATGTGTATATTCTTAGTAATTTTTTTACAGTGTTCTTTTGATTTTGCTGACTTATGAAAAGGTTTGTGGTTTTCTATTTGTATAATTTGTTATAATTAGTATTTCCATTAATGTATTCTATTTTATGTTAGGTTTGAAATTCCAGAGCCTGAGCCAACAGAAGCTGATCGCATAGCTATAGAAAATGGAGATCAACCCTTGAGTGCAGAACTAAAAAGATTTAGAAAAGAATATATACAACCTGTACAACTGCGGTAAGCATTAAATAAATAAGTGAAGTAAACAAGTCTTTAATGAACTTCTGTTTCAAAGTTGAAGCATATAAGGACCTCTCGCAAGCAAGGAGGAGGTAACAAGTGAAGAAATTGAATTAAATAAGAGTAATTATCAGATATCATTTTATAAGTCTTAATTAACACAGAATTTTGAGAGTGTTAGGCACGTGGCAAGATTATTTAATTTGGTTAGCATTATTCTGTTTTTATTTGTGCACTCATTGTGATAAACATTTATGTTTGAGTTCCTAAGTAATTCAATTCTGTGTTAATGCCATAGAGTATTAAATGTGTGTCGGCACTGGGTAGAGCACCACTTCTATGATTTTGAAAGAGATGCAGATCTTTTGCAACGAATGGAGGAATTTATTGGAACAGTAAGAGGTATGGTTTTTTAAGTGCCTACTTTTATAGATAATAAAATTACCAATTACCATCAACTGATCATTATTGCTCACGTTGTAAAAAGATGGTTATAAATAGCACCAGCAAAACCATTTGAAAAAGTTAAAAATTTTCATCAAACAACATTTAGACCTAAAGACTGCTCAGTAGTCACCCTTTTGGCCTAATGTATTTTCATTTAGTAAATCAACTTACTGATTATTTTAGAGTTGATTAGAAAAAAGCCTCAATTTAAGCCAAGTCTTTACACTTGTCTGTTTTTATTGCCATTGTGCATCCTAAATGAGAACCAGAAAATAAAGCGTTGAATAATGGTACTTTCACGTATGGTTCAAAACAGAGCCACATCAAAACTCACACTCACATGAAGGAATGAGTCCTCTGACACTGCCTGGTTTATAACATGAAACGTTAATTAGGTTAATAATGAATGTGTATGATTTAGCCTTATAAATCTTTTGAAATAAAGTTCAGAACAGTAGAGGTGGAAAATCTCTACAAATAAATTACTTTATAATTTTATTTAGAAAGGTTCTGGAAGAATACATTCCAAACTATCAACCATGGTTACTCACATGAGTAAGAATGAGATTGGGATGGGGATGGGAAGATGGTAAAGGAGAACTTGGGTTTTTCATTTTGATCACTTGAACTCGTTATAGCAGAGATATACTCAGGTATCACTTGTGATTTTAAGCCACTTAAAAATATAAAATATTAAATAAAGAATATTTAAATGTCATTTAAAATATAATGTATTTCAGGTAAAGCAATGAAGAAATGGGTTGAATCCATAACTAAGATAATCCAGAGGAAAAAAATGGCAAGAGACAATGGACCAGGTCATAATATCACATTTCAGAGTTCGCCTCCCACAGTTGAGTGGCACATAAGCAGACCTGGGCATGTAGAGACTTTTGACCTGCTCACCTTACACCCCATAGAAATTGCTCGACAACTCACTTTACTTGAATCCGATCTATACCGGTATGTAATTTGACATTCAAACTGAAAAATCATTTCAAGACAGATAATGTTTAAAATGAAATTCTAGTTTCTGCCTTAAAGGTCTGTCCTAATATATACATGTGATTATTACATAAAGCATTTAGTAATAAGGCCTGGCAGGCAGTCCTGTTCTTTCACACCCTCAGTCCCCCTAGCTCTGTCCAAATTTATGCCTTCTCTCTTTCTGTGGTCACCCAAGCTGGTGAAGTGAGGCTCAGATGCTGGCTTGGTATACTGGAGCAGTGTTGACCTCCTGGTGCAACTTTTATTCTTCTGCCTATTGGTTTCCTCAAGAGTCAAATGGGGCTAATGCTAGAATCTCCTCTTGGGGCTGCTTGAGGTTTCCAGTGGTCAGTCCATGTGCAGTGGTTAGAACTTTGCCTAGCACAGAGTAAGGCTTAGTAACTGTTCGCTACCGCTGTTGTTGTGAACTTAAATCATGACCAGTTATAGCTTTTTTTAATCATTCCACGTTGATGTAACTACTGTCTCAAAAATGTCTGTTTCTTGTTTTAAATGAGGACTATTTAGAATCTCAAACTAAATTATGTATTTTTAAATAATTAAATGAGAAAAGGAGCTAAATTTATGGATCTCCTTCCACCAAAGGTCGTCACATGTCTAACAATTATTGTGTTAGAATCTATTTTATTTATTTCCCAGGATCCTCTGGTGGTAGGGTATTTTTCTCCTTTCCTTTAGACAAACATGTAAATAATTAGAGATTTATGAATTGCATTGATTACTGTGCCCTCTTTGCACTGATATTATAACAGATATTATTATGTGAATGATTACTTTGTTACCCTAATTAATAATATTTATTTATTTATTTATTTTTATTTTTTTTTTTTTTTGAGTTGGAGTCTCACTCTGTGGCCCAGACTGGAGTGCAGCGGCACGCTCCCGGCCACCGCAGCCTCGACCTGCTGGGCTCCAGCGATCCTTCTTCCTCAGCCTTCCAAGTAGCTGCAACTACAGGCGTGCGCTACCATGCCCGGCTAATTTTTTTTTAATTTACTGTAGAGATTAGGTCTCGCCAAGTTGCCCAGGCAGGTCTCAAGCCCACAGACTCAGGCAATAACACTCACCTCAGCCTTCCAAAGTGTGGGATTACAGGCTGAGCCACTAAGCCCAGCTAATAAATAATATTTATAAGTGCTAGGAAATATATTATGGAGAAATCTCAGCCTTGCCCAAAGCAAAATGCTACTATAAAAGCAATAAAGTATACCGATATATCCATAAAATAGTTGTTAAAAATATCTGTAGAAAAGATACATAATTATAATTTTATTGCTATACTTTGTTTTCATAAACCTTTCTGTTGATATAAAAGGAAAGTTACATAGAAGTTTAGTTTTTATGTATCTCATGTCCTTAATAAAACAGTGTCTATACTAGAGGAAGACGTATCATGTAGCATTGTGTCTTGATGGTTTTAGAGCTGTACAGCCGTCAGAATTAGTTGGAAGTGTGTGGACAAAAGAAGACAAAGAAATTAATTCTCCTAATCTTCTGAAAATGATCAGACACACCACTAATCTTACTCTGTGGTTTGAGAAGTAAGTACTCCTAGCATTCTTATATTCCTCATCAGCTGTTATGAATTTCAGTGCAGTTTTATTTCTGTTTCTCTAATGTCTCTTTGTTCCTCTGATCCTTCCTTCTTTTGAAGTGAATGTTTTTCATTGAGTGAAAATGACAGTGCTTTTCTAATGCAGCATTTTAAATTCACTAATTATTTTTTTTGAGGTTCTGTTAGTGATTGTCTTAGGGTTTACCAAATACATCTTGAGAATCAGGTTCAGATTTATAATTTCTTAATTCCAGTGATATATAGAAATGTTACTCCTGTATAGCTCTATTCCCTTTCTCCCTGTTAGTGATATTATTGTAATACATATTTACACCTAATTAATGATACAAATCAAACATACATTGTTACAATTGTTATCTTGCCATCATCCTCTTAGCCCGTTGCAGCTTTGGTCTCACCCATCTCCTTTGTGCTTATTGGCAATATATTACACATATATTACATTTCTATGTATAAGCCCAACAGTACATTTATATTATTTTATACAGTTACTTTTTAAATCAGGTAAGAGTAGAAACAAGAAAAAATATGCATTTATATGCATTTATGGTGTCTTTTATAATTCTATAATTACCTTCACTGATGCTTTTTGTGTTAATTCAGGTTACTCCCTGGGATTACCTACTTTCAGCCTGAAGAGGGTCCTTTGGTGACCCTCTATGGTGGGTCAGCTATCAACACATTCTTTCAGTGTTTATCTGGGAAAATCTTTATTTTGCCTTCATTTTTGAACAGTCGCTCTACCTTCAAGTTAACTAGATTTTTCTTCTGTCGTTTCAAACCTACTTTTTAAATTTCAGTATACTTTACTATACTTTTCAATTCCAGGATTTCCATTTGGTTCCTTTTTCTAGTTTCTATCTCTTCAAAGATATTCTTTCTTGGATGCACATTGTCATCAATACCTTCCTTCTTTATCTGCTTTCCTGTAGTTCTACGGACTGGCTACTGCAAAATCTTTTTTGGTTAACTCTGTCTTCTGGTTGCCCTCACAGGCAGTTTCTGTCCCTGCTTTTTTCCCAGCATATAGGTCATACTTTCCTTTTTCCTTGCATTCCTCATTATTTTTGTTGAAAATGTGGCATATTAGATAATACATTGTAGCAACTCTGAGTTCTGGTCCCACTCTCCACCCCAGTTTCCAGGGCTTGTTATTGTTACTTACTTGTTTATTCTTTCATTGACTAATTGGATGATTTTCGTGAAGTTCCTGCCCCCATACACATACACACACACACACACACACACACACACACAATTAAGCTGGTATGTTAACTCAGAGAGATGCAGGTTTGGGTATGCCCAGTTACCCTGAGAAGGCAGTGGTACTAATAGGGTTCACATCCATTCCTTCCCTGACCACACACACCCAACTGTTGAAGTCCACTAATTACTGGCTGATTGCTCTGTTGTTTTCAGCAATTCCCTGGCAGCATAAATGGCCACACAAAATAATCCAATCAAATTGTGGTGCCTTTGCAGGACTGGTTTCTGAATCCAGGAGGGCTCTTATTACAGCCTTCACTGCTCCTGCAAGCACCCTTAGGTTTAAACTTCACACTCTGTTGCAAATAAGAGATTGGAGCCGTCTGTTTGAAACAGGGCTCTGGGGCTGGGGACAATGGCAAGCTTCTCTCTGCAGGACATTCCTGCTCTAGGAGCTGAACAGTGGAGGGGGTGAGGGGTGGTGGTTGGAAGTGGGAGTAGATGGCAGGTGACGGGGCTCTGAGGTCTTCCTACCTGCCTCCTCTGGCGTGGAACCACTGCAGAGGAAGGGCTGCTTTTTCAGTATTTGCAACACATCACACCCTAGGTGGAGTCTCCATCCCTGAAGTGAGAGTTTGGCAAGGGCGAGATGAGGAATCCAGAGTCCTGTCCTGGAAGGAAAGCCCCCAGCTGGGAGCTCTGGCTACAGGAATCTGGAGTGGATTCTCAGTTTACCCTACTGAGCTGGAGAGACGAGGGCGGGAATAGTCCTGGCTCAGATGCCACAGACTCTCCCTCTCTTACGCATTCCTGTAGATTTTCCTGAACAGGTGTTTCCACATTGGCCACCTGCTCTCAGGGCCATTACCAGAGACTTTAAGTGTTTTTTAACATAATCTTCACTGGTTTCACTCAGGGAAGAATCTCACTATCATGCCAGAAGTCCAGAATTTCAATGCAGTTGTATAGTTGGGGGCAGAGATTAGAGTTTTGTGTAGTGGTCACATTTTTTCTGAGTAAAGACAATATGACTAATATTTTATAAAGGCAATATGAGATTTCCAGAGATCTTATTGGGATTATCAGAAGAAATGACCAGTGATGTAAGGGAATGACTGGAAGCTGAGCTAAAATGTTGGATAAGACCGGACAGCAATTCCTTCATGACAAGCAGCATTCCAAGGCACAGGAAGCGAGGATGGCCTTCTACTGATGTTCTTAAACTTAACATGCCTCTAGAAAGTAAACTTTTAGAATTAGCTTCCTACATATTGCTTCCAGATTTCTTCCTTAGCCAGTTAACTACATTTCAGTATGCGGAAGTTATTTTTTCAACAAAAGTGATTAGTAAATTTAAAAATTTCTCAAATACTAGAAACAGTAAGTGCTCACTAAAGAATTCTTTTTTGAACTTAGCATGCTTTCTTTTTAGCTATTTACTAGGATATCACACACACACATACACACACAGTATATTTCAAGGATTCTTGGTATTTAAATGTAAAGTACTTTTGTTTTCACTGACTTTTTTTCCTAAGTAGTATACATTTTATTTATAATGGTAAAAATACTTTAATTGACTTTTTAATACTTAGTGCTTTTCTTAAGAGGTGTACCTGGAAAGTAGCCAATTATTTCTAAATATGAGAGAAATTAAGCATTTGTCACTAAAATCTTGCAATTAGATGAAGAATAAGAAGCAATGGGATTCTTGGATTCTAGTATAGATTCCTCTAGAACACACCCACATCACAGAGAGTTACACACATTCAACGATATTAGCCTCATCAGTTAATTCTGCTGCTGATACAAGATGCACCAAATACAGTAGGAACAAATACAGTTGGCTGTAGCAGGGAGGGACAGCCCGCCCGACTGGAGGCATCGCCTTATCTTTCATCTCCTTCTGTCTACCTGTCCCTCTAAATGGATGTGCTGTGGTTACACTACAGCCACTGCCCCCCATATCCATGTTATCTTATTTACTAAATTCTTCAAACCATAGCTATATTGGAAAAACTCAAATCTTTTTTGCTTTTGATTCCCAGATGTATTGTTGAAACTGAAAATTTAGAAGAAAGAGTAGCTGTGGTGAGTCGAATAATTGAGATTCTACAAGTCTTTCAAGAGCTGAACAACTTTAATGGTGTCCTTGAGGTTGTCAGTGCCATGAACTCATCACCTGTTTACAGACTAGACCACACATTTGAGGTAGGTTTGTTCATATGTTTTTAAAATGAACTTTCATTCTCTATTATAAAAATTAGGGTATTAACAATTATGATCTTTAATTTTTAAATGTCTCGTCTGTCTTTTCAACAGATGGAATTAACCAAATTTTGTAATGAACTAGTTGTGTTTTTAAAATTGGGCATTCCCATTTACAGGTCTCAGCCTAAGTTAAAAAAGAAAAAAACTGAGCATTTAATTTGGAATGTAATGTACAATTAAATGCTCAAATAATTATCCTAGGAATGGCAAGATAAACTAGATCTCTCTCTCTCTCTCTCTCACGCACGTGTGCTCTCTGTCTCTCACTCACTCTGTCTGTACTGGGGTCTATGAAGAAAGTTTCTTTCAAGCTGTATTACAGTTGTAGAATCAAATTAATACTGTTTCATCCTTATGGTTAGCCTGGTATTCTTGGCAAGACTGTTGATTCTGTTTGTACATTTAGGCCTCCCAAATATTTTTGTTCTTGTAGCAAATACCAAGTCGCCAAAAGAAAATTTTAGAAGAAGCTCATGAATTGAGTGAAGATCATTATAAGAAATATTTGGCAAAACTCAGGTCTATTAATCCACCATGTGTGCCTTTCTTTGGTAAGTATTTCTGATTTTTATTGCATAAAACAAGACATTAATTTCATTAAATGAGTGATTACACGTGTAACATACCAGCAGAAAATACTTATTTAACAAAATTTAGCACCTGAATCTCCTCAGAATTTTTCTCTATTAGGCCTTATTAAGATCAAGTCCAATACATACATTTCATTTTCTATTTTCATCTTGGGCAACCCCTAGATAGATATATATATACATATATATATATATACTTACTTGGGTTTTTATATTCATAGAAGCCTTTTATACCAGTGCCACGCTTTTAATGGCTGTCACTTTATAATCAGCAATTCTCAGTTGAGGGTCATTTTCATGCCCCAGGGAACATTTAGCAATGTTCTAGATGGGATGGTGCTGTGGGCACTTCACGAGTCCAGGACAGAGATGCCGCTGGCAGCCTGCAGTGAAGGACGGTTCCTTCGACAGAAGGTCAGGGGTGCTGAGGCAGAGAAGCCTTGCTCTGAAGTTGGCTCTGTAGAGTTCCTCCAGTATTTTCTTTGACAATTGTGTCTGTTTATTGTTCCAAATGAATTTTATAAGTCTGGGAGGCCTGCCCCCAGATACAACTGGCATCATCTATCAACTAATTTGGAGGAACACATATGGTATCTAGCATTTCCCCTTATTTCTTTCCCCAGATATATTTAGTTTGAATGGTATTCATTCAGTTACCCTTAATTTCAAGAATGTTTAATTTCCTTGGATTCTCTAAATGTTTAACCGTTTCTACAAATAATGATAGTGTATCTTCCTTTGACCTTATTTCCGTGTTATGCCTTACAGAATTGGTCATTAACTTCCCAAACAAGGCTTAAAAAATAATGGTAAAAATAAGCAGCTCTGCTGCTTGCAATAAATAAAAAAATCAGCCGGGTGTGGTAGCACGCGCCTGTAGTTCCGGCTACTTGGGAGGCTGAGGTGGAAGGATCGCCGGAGCCCACCAGGTCGAGGCTGTGGTGACCGGGAGCAACCACTGCACTCCAGTCTGGGCGACAGAGTGAGACTCCAACTCAAAAAAAAATAATAATAAATAAATAAATAAGCAGCTCTGTTTTAAACTTAGTCAGCAGAGATAGATATAATTTTCCTACTTACTTAAATTAGATGCTTTTTATCATGTTAAGAAAGTATATTCTTTGCTACAGAATTGTTTTATTTCATTATTTAAAAAATACTAGCATTCAGTTACATCTATAAACATGTTTTTTAATTACGACATTTGCAATATATCTTTATCATTTCTATGTTTACTTATTTGTTTTACTTTAATTTGCTTTTTTCTTCAAAAACATAAGATCTTTAATTATGCTCTGCTGATCTTATGGGGGTTTCTTGTCATATATTACTTTTTAAATCATTATTGATTTCTAGTTTTTCTGAGGATTTTCTCCTCCCCCCCCCCAAGCTCTTGGCAAAAATATTGAGTCCACTTAATTTTCTCTTTATGGTAAAAATACTTCCGCCTGTGTGTTTGTTCCTAAATGTGGTGACTGTGATACCCGCTCTCATACATGGGAGCTGGGAAGGATCTGGGTAGGGCTGATGTTCACTTCATTCCATCTGTCAGCAGATACTTCTTGTGTACCAAGTAAGTACCAGGCCTATGTCAGGTGCTTAGAAAGCGGAAAATACACAGTCACTGTGCTCACTGAGCATACTGTCATGCCACACATGAATCCAGCGGTCTCGGGTACTCAAAGATGGAAAGAAGCCGCAGAGGCCACACCTGGCCTCACTGTTTGTCTCTGCTATCCCGTCACTCTGACCCTTGGGGATTTAGTCATCAAATGAACTCTCTACTCACTCAGACCCTGAGAAACTTAATATAACTGATCTTCATAACTTGTTCTTAAGTGAAAAGGGAAGTTTCAGGCCCATATTTAGAATATGACTCAATAAGGAGTTTTAAGGTGAGCTGTGTGATTCAGTGATGAACACAAGCACGTGTGCGTAGTTTGACAGGTACACAGATATCCCCCCTGCCAGCCTTCCTACCCCTTCTCTCATCTTCCTGGTTATTGAGCCACTGCCCTTTAGAGCAGGCTATCTATTCCTGTCCCTGGTCAGTTCTGCTGCACTAGGAAGAGCATTGCCATGCTCAGGCTAAAGGTTATCAGCCCCTGAAGTTAGTCAGGCCACCTTTTATGGCTCTGACCCTGACCCAGTGAGTAGAGCCAGATGTTGTTGCTGCTTCTAAAATCCATCCTGTCTGTATGGTAATGTATAGAAATCCTTCCCGATTCTTTAACTCTGGATCCTGCTTTTCAAAACCCTTCTATGGGGGAGGACCAGGAGTAGCAGCTGACGCTTTTACTTCCTCTGCTATCTTACAGAATTCTTATTCAAGTCTTTTGCTGACACTGCTACCGCTCACAGAATAAAAGTAGGACAGTTTCTCCTTCAGAGCTCTGCCAGACTTCTAGTCTACATCCCAATTTTTCTCCATACTCTAAGATGATCTGCTCATCGGTAGGACAGATATGTGGGCAAACTGACCTTACCTCTAAGGCAAAAGAATGTCCCTTAGTCAAGCGTGTCATCTGCACGGGCATCCAGACCTACAGCAGTGGCTTTGCTCTTTCTTCTTGCACAGCTTTGATCTTGTGTCTGCCTCTGATTTTTATAAATGGTCTCATCTCCACTCTTGCTTTCCAGCTAGTTTAGAATTGACTCACTTCCTGGTCTACCTTTCAAATGTCTCTCTTCTATTTTAAAACAATATGCTGCTATATTCATTCAAAACAGCACACCTGTCGATGCCTCTTGGTGCTATACCCAGGGCTAGGTGCTGAGAACAGACAAGCAAGACACAGTTCCATAACTTCTGCTCCCTTGAAAAGCAGAAAAATAAATTACAGTATTGTGTGGCACGTGCAACACTGGACTGGAGAAATGTGGACAGAATGCTGTGGGAACCCAGAACCCTGAGCAGCCAGTCTGTCCTGGGAAGGCTAGAAAGGTACCACAGGGACCTGACCCTTTGCCATTATCTGTGTCATTATGCTCTACCACCCCTTCCCCGAGAAAAGATACCTCCAGAGCAGGGAATGTCAGATGAGCCATTGGAGTCAGGAATAACTAGACCTGCTTCTGTTTAAAAAGAAGCTTTAGCATATAACACTCAAGTCTCTACTACATATTCATATTTATATATACACACACACTCCATTTTATTCAAAAATTGTGTATGTGTGTAGAGGGAAGGAAGGTGTATGTTTAAACACTTTTTATGATGTGATGTAAGATCAACAAAGCTTGGACATCTCTGTTGTGGTCAGTTCTTTTAATTAGCCATCAGCTAAGGGCAAAAAACAACTTCCAAGTGTTATCCTGGACTGCCCCAAAATCCTACTTGTAAGTATTTTCATAACCTCACTCAAGTGTGCTTTTCACAATATGGCGTCCCATAACCTTATTATTCCCCTGTGTTCCCAGTGTCAGTCATCTCACCATCACCTGTTCACCATCACTTTGTACCCAAGCACAAAGCTGAGTGTCTTCCTTCCCGCTGCCCCCATCTCCTCCCCAAGCCAGGTCATCAGTTCTTGGGGAGTCTACCCTTTCCCTCTATTCCCACAGACCCCTGGGGAAGCCCTTTCCTCTCACCAGGACTACCATTTCCCTAATAACTGCTCTTCCTGCTTCTGGACTTAACTCCTTGAAACTGGCTTCACGGTACAATTAGAGGAATCCTTCTAGAATGCAAAGATGCTTATAATCCTCTAATTACCTCCTTGATAAAAGCTCAGCTATTTTTTAAAAGGCACTTCATGACCCCATCCATATGCTAATGCCCACAGACTCATCACAGGTAGGCCATCAGTGCCTGACCAAATGGATAGTTGATTTGGGCAGTGTGAATGTGATACCCTTATGGACTAGCTTGTCAGACGGAAGTGGATCAAGAGCTAAGTGGATCATGAGCTTGTATAGAGAAGAGTATAATTGGCCAAAAGTCACAGAATCCAGTGGCAGGCAGATGTAAAAAACAGAAGAACCTGTGCTTATTGGAACATGCAATAACTATCCTGTGAATTGCCTTGGTGCTGAGAAACAGCCAGGGAACTAATGTACTCAATACCTGGATGCTTTTTAATACCAAACAGGCATTGATCTCAGTCATATTTCATTACTGCGGATTTGTTCAAGACTGACTTGAGTCATTTTATCTTTTCAAGGATGTGGCCAAAAAAAATCTAATACTCAAAAGAATGCCTCTACCACAGAAGCATTTAGACCCGCTCCGGCCTGGAAGGTCTTTCCCAGGTTTATCTCAGTACCTAAGGCAGTGCTTGGCATATGCAGGGATTCAGTGCTTGTGCTTCCTGTGTCTTCCCTCACAGCCTGCCCCTCTTCCTCCACCCCACACACCAAACCCTGAGGTCCAGCCACACCACACAGCATATCATCTCCAAGTGGACCTTTCCAGCTTTACCGTTGTGTCAGCGCCTTCACACATGCTGCTCTGCTTACTTAGAACACCCTCCACCTCATTCTATACTGTAAACTTTGCATTTTTTTAGACTTATCCTCAGCACCACCTCATCTGTGATACTGTTTCCAGTCCTGTGAGCTCAAGGCAGAGTTAGGACTCCTTTGTGCTCCAGAGCATCTCAGCATGACTACTGATAGTACACCTCCTGACATAGCACTTACCAAGCTGTACTGCAGGAGCCCACAATTCAGAGCGCAGGACACCTTGAGGCCAAGGACTCCCTGAGCTCTGGCCTGGAAGGTCTTTCCCAGGTTTATCTGCAGTACCTAAGGCAGTGCTTGGCATATGTAGGGATTCAGTGCTTGTGCTTTGAGGGAATGAACTCAGATATTCACATGCCCTTTTCCCCCAGAGCATCACAGGCAGTACTTTGGGGGGAAAAGCAGAAGCCTAAGAGTATTGGGCAAGATGTAACAGCAGCAGCAATAGTCACCACCACAGTTAAGGACTGCTTCCTTTTGTCAGGCCCTACTCCAAGCCTGCACATGAATTTACTCATTTGCCTCTCAAAGCAACTGTCCTGTCCTCATTTTCCAGAGAACACTGAGGCACAGAGAGACTAAGCATGTGCCAAGATCACACACGTAGAGCGGGCACAGCCGACTCTGGAAGCTCTGTGGTAGGATGAAAAGGAGCTCAAGTGCTCCTGGCACCGGAGGGCAGTCTGAGAACCCAAGCCCCTGTCCCTGCGTTCCTTCTCATCCAGCACACAGCCTGCAGTGATGGGGTTGGGAACCCGAATCCCAGGTTGCCACTAGGTCAACTGAAGACCAGAATACATGCAACTCATACGCAGCCCTCAGTCTGACAGGCTCGCAAAACCCTCCACGCTCCATGAGCGGGCCTATCCAGGTAGCACTGCCTCTGATCTGCAAATCTGGATGGGCTCTTCTGGGTTCCAAAGACTATGAGTAAGAAGAAGGTGTGACCCTCCGAGCTGAGCATTTTCCTGGTTTGCTAAAAACATGTGTCACTAGTGACAGAGTTGCTCTTGAAGTCCCTTTAACAAAACTATGATTTATGTTAAATAGCATAGTGGTTTAAGGAGTCTGGAGATACGATGATTCTTCCTTAAAAATCTATTAACTTCATTAAACTTGGTCTCCCTTTTTCTTGGATATTTGTAAAATGTAAGTCTTTCACAGAAGAATTTGACACAAGAATCTTCCCCTTGCTCTTTCCTTAGCTTGTTGTTTTTCATAGTGTGGGAACCTGAGCCTTGTCTTTGCTGACAGTGACTAAGATAGTACAGTGGAATACGCCCACAGTTAATGGGAAGGAAAAGCTGGCTCTCTCCTTCTTTATCCTTGAAATAATTTCATTATCTATTTTAGGAATTTATCTCACTAATATCTTGAAAACAGAAGAAGGCAACCCTGAGGTCCTAAAAAGACATGGAAAAGAGCTTATAAACTTTAGCAAGAGAAGGAAAGTAGCAGAGATAACCGGAGAGATCCAGCAGTACCAAAACCAGCCTTACTGTTTACGCGTAGAATCAGACATCAAAGTAAGTCCAATTAGTTAAAGACATCTATTTCTGAATAGGTTTAAAGGAGAGTTTATTTTGTAGGGGGAAAAAGGAAAATAAAGCTTAAAATAAATAATCCAAATTTTCTTTGGTTAACTGTTTTTCTTAAATTATTTCCATCAATTTCAAACTGAATTTATATTTAACATTAATAATTATTTCTTTGTATTTATTTTAGAGGTTCTTTGAAAACTTGAATCCAATGGGAAATAGCATGGAAAAAGAATTTACAGATTATCTTTTCAACAAATCCCTAGAAATAGAACCACGAAACCCTAAGCCTCTCCCAAGATTTGTAAGTGTTCATATATTTATATTTCTTTTACATTCATATACTTTTTGTAATTGCCATGTGCATCTGGTGATGTCATTACTGCCATATGTGTTATAAAGATGAGTTTTCTATATATGCATTCTGGGATGAAGTGTGCATGTGATGGTTGAAAGTAGCGAGAAAGGCTGGATGTGGTGGCTCATGCCTGTAATCCCAGCACTCTGGGAGGCTGAGACAGGAGGACTGCTTGAGCCCGGGAGTTTGAGACCAGCCGGGGCAAAACAGTGAGACCTCGTCTCTATAAAAAATCATAAAATTAGCCAGGCATGGTGGTGCACACCTGTAGTCCCAGCTACTCAGGAAGCCGAGGTGGAAAAATCACCTGAGCGCAGGAGGTCGAGGCTGCAGTGAACTATGATCATGCCTCTGCACTCCAGCCTGGGTGACAATGAGACTCTGACTCAAAAAAAAAGTAATGAAAAAGTGTTTAATATATATGCCCAGGAATATCCCACTTGGTTCCAAATAAATAAAGGTTAATATTAATTTGAATAAATTCTGATATGACAGATGATAAAATTGAGCAAATAATGTTTTTTATTGTTTTTGGTTTTACCCAAAAAGCTGTTAAACAGTATTTTCAGGACAAAAACTGTAATGATTCTATACTGATTCATATAATGAATCTGTTTATTGGTGAGTTTTTTAAAGTAGTGGCTTATTAGATCTTTGAACCATGAATCATGAGCCATCATATATCAAGTGTGGCTAGTGCCACTTTCTTTAGGAAAATCATGTTCCCGTTGTTGCTGTTGTTGTTGTTATGTCAGAGGAGTCTCACTCTGTCACCCAGACTGGAATGCAGTGACACAATCATGGCTCACTGCAGCCTCGAACTACTGGGCTCAAGTGATCTTCTCACCTTAGCCTCCCAAGAAGCTAGGACTACAGATGTGCGCCACCATACCCAACTGACTTCTTGATTTTTTTTTGTAGAGACAACGTCTCACTATATTGCCCAGGCTGGTCTTGAACTCCTGAGCTCAAAAGATCCTCTTGCCTCAGCCTCCCAAAGTGCTAGGATTACAGGTGTGAGCCACTGTGTTCAGCTTCCATTGTTTTTTATTACTTGTCGGTACCTGGCAGAATTTATGTAAGAATCATCATCTTACTGATCCGTGTTCTTTCTTATCCATAAGAAAGTCAAAGCCAGGTGTGGTACGTAGGCTACAGTGAACTATGATTGTGCCACTGCACTCTAGCCTTGGTGACAGAGTAAGACTTTGCCTCTTAAAAAAATAAAATAAGTCAGAAAGTAAACGTAAATGGCTTCTAAGGAGCCAAGATAAACCTTATAATGTCTGTGAGCTAAAGTATATGCAGTTGCCTTACAAGAAAATTTCTCAAGCCCTAAAATACTTTTTAGTAAGTGGTATTAAAGACAGAAAATTGGAAATAGGTCTGCTTCAATGAGGCACACTGATATCACTGAGAAATGATTATTCTGCAAGGAAAATGTCATAAAATCAACATCCACACAGAAATGAAAACTCAGGCAATTTAATGTATGGGTGAATAGCTCAAATGGTCCTAATGGCATCGCTGTATTACAGCATAGTAAGACACAGTAATTTACACTGTTTTAAAAGCCAGGGAAATATACATGTTAGAAAAAATTTCTTCCCAAAATATTAAAATAACAAATACTCTGGTATCTGTAGGATTAAAACTCAGTTACTTAAAGAAATGTATCCCCACCAGGCATGGTGGCTCATACCTGTAATCCCAGCACTTTGAGAGGTGGAGGCAAGAGAACTGCCTGAGCCCAGGGGTTCGAGACCACCCTGGGCAATTCGGCGAGATCTCGTCTCTACAATAAATGAAAAATGTAGCCAGGCGTGATGGCGCATGCATGTAGTTCCAGACTTGGAAAACTGAGGCAGAAGGATCGCCTGAGCCTAGCAGGTGGAGGCTGCAGTAGCCATGAGCTACATTCCAGCCTGGGTGACAGAGTGAGAGTGAGGCTCTGACTCAAAAAAAGAAGAAAGAAGAAAGAAGAAAATGTATTTCTTAACAATTTAGATACCCAAGGCTTTGGTAACATGAAATGTTAATGCTTTAACTTAGATACTTTCACTTGAATCATTACATTGTCATTAGTGATTTATGATTCTCCTAGATATGGGTTACATTTTACCAGGCACTTATAGAAACACTTCTTCTACGGTGTTTTAAGTATTGTGTTTCTTTTGGTATGTCTACAGCCAAAAAAATATAGCTATCCCCTAAAATCTCCTGGTGTTCGTCCATCAAACCCGAGACCAGGTACCATGAGGCACCCCACACCTCTGCAGCAGGAGCCAAGGAAAATCAGCTACAGCAGGATCCCCGAAAGTGAAACAGAAAGCACAGCGTCTGCACCAAACTCGCCGAGGACACCGCTAACGCCGCCTCCTGCATCTGGTGCATCCAGTGCCACCGATGTTTGCAGCGTGTTTGATTCGGATCATTCGAGCCCTTTTCACTCAAGTAGGTGCTAAACTTTTCATAGCATTAAGGCATTTGCTAGTATCCTATATGCTAACGATTAATGGTAAAGAAGAATCTCTTGTGATTTTTATTTGTGTGTGGCTATGCCGATAAGTCTGATACCATTTCAAAAGATGTCATTATAGAAGTGTAAGACAAATTCTAAACTCCAGCAACTTACAGTTTTAAAAAAAAAAAAAAAAAAGCTGCTAGGACAGTCCTCTTAAATTTATTATACTTTACTGAAAGGCCTGGTGGTAAAATTGGTAATTAAAACTTCATCTGAGCATTTCAAATGCATCCTTCATATCCAGAGGAAACCAAGATCATTCTTAAAATCTGCAGAGTACATCAGTCCATTGTTTTTTTGTTTTTTGTTTTTGTTTTTGAGTTGGAGTCTTACTCTGTCACCCAGGCTGGAGTGCAGTGGCATACTCCTGGCCACCGCAGCTTCGACCTGCTGGGCTCGGGTGATCCTTCCAACTCAGCCCTCCAAGTAGCCGGAACAGGCACACACTACCACACCCAGTTAATTTTTTGATTTATTGTAGAGACGAGGTCTTACCATGTTGCCCAGTTTGGTCTCGAATCCACGAGCTCAGGCAATCTTCTCGCCTTGGCCTCCCAAAGTGCTGGGATTATAGGCTTGAATCACTGCGCCCAGCCGTCAGTCTATGTTTTAAATGCTGCCTCCTAAATTATTATACAGGTTGAATATCCCCAATCCAAAAATCCGAAATCCAGAATACTCTAAAATCTGAAACATTTTGAGGGCCAACATGATGCTCAAAGGAAATGCTCATTGGAGGATTCAGATTTCAAGATTAGGGAAGCTAAATCAGTGAGTATGATGCAATATTCCAAAGTTCAGAACACTGCTGGCCCCAGGCTTTTCAGATATGCTCCTCACCAAATTCTGCAGGGCTTAAATTAGCAGTGTGTCGAATTTAAACTCCTGCTTGACCCTTCCTTAGTCTAGTCAATGATACCTCGTGGCACCGTGCTAGTCACCGCCTGTGGTTCTCAGCACAGCCATCCACATCTCACAGACTGCACACGATTGCTCATCCTGCTCTTGCTGCTAGACCTGCACTGTCCTATCGGGATATAACATGAGCCACGTGGATAGCTTTACATGTCTAGCAGCACATTAGCAGAAGCAAAATAATTTTAATAGTATTTTCTATTTAACCCAGCATATAAAATATATCGTCATTTCAACATGAAACCAATATAAAAGTTTATTATTGAGATAGTTTACATTCCCTTTTTGTCCTAGATCTTTAAAATCCAGTGTGCACCTTGCACTTATAGCACATCTCAATTCGAAGAAGCCACAGTCAGATACGCCATAATCACGTGTGGCTGGTGGCTGCCAGCTGTACAGCTCAGCCCTCGCCCTCTGAAGAGACTACCTCTTAAGTCTAGATCACCGTAAACGTTCTGGTCAGTTTCATGTGGCGCTTTCGCACTCATGGAAAAACACACAGCCTTTCCTGCATGTTTGCTATTACGCCCAACTGTGAATCCTGGCCCCTTTAACTCTCTCATGACCATTTCACAAGCTCTTCCCTTGGCTTAGCTCGATGTGCTGGTCATGCTCTACCCTAACATTTGACATAGGAGATCCTAATTCTGGAGGCAGCATGACATTATCACGGGGAGGAGGTGGAGAAGCACTGACCTAGGCCATAGAAATCCTGTCATCCCAGTCTGCTAATAAGCCTTCTGATTTCAGATAAAGTACTTTTTCTGTGCCTCTTGGGGCCCGAATTAGATTTTTAAGATTTTCTTAGGTTGGAGGAAACCTAATTAAAAATCTGCTTCAAATAAGTATTTGGCAGTATATTATTTTGAGATTTGGTCCAGAATCCCATTTCTTTATTCCTGTAGCACACTCACATTGGTAGTTAACCCAGCAGTCTGTCTTGTCTTTGTACCACCCGGTGTGCATTTGTCTTCAGAATATGATGACTTGGCTTTATTTAGTGACTACAGATGAAGGAGTCACGTTATACACATAATAAGCTGCCAGAGATTTTTGGTAAGTTCAAATAGACACCAAGTAAAAAAATTCCAATTTATTCTCCCCAACTTGCCAACTCCCTAAATTAAGTAATAAAATGAAATCAGTACTTTTTCAGTATACCTGACCTAAAATCATTATTTATTCTGACACATTTAACTGTTTGCAGGATTTTTCTTTTTCCTAGAGCAGATAGCTATAGGTCTATAGCATAATGATTCTCAAATAATTGAATTACTGAAACCACATGAAAGCCATCAATTGCAACTTCTGCTTCCCTATAGTTTAAGTAGCTAAAAATGGAATAGGTGGAAAAACAGAAGATAAGCACATTAAGTTCTCTGCTAGTGCTGAGTCTTCAAACGATTAATCCGACAGGTAAAAAGATTCATTCTGGGCTGGGCTCGGTGGCTCAGCCTGTAATCCCAGTACTTTGGAAGGCTGAGGCAAGTGAATTGCCTGAGCCCACGGGTTCAAGACCCATCCGGGCAACTTGGTGAGACCTCGTCTCTACAACAAATGAAAAATTAGCCAGGCGTGGTAGCACGCACTTGTAGTTCCAGCTCCTTGGAAGGCGGAGGCAGGATTGCCAGAGCCCAGCAGGTCGAGGCTGCAGTGGCTGGGAGTGTGCCACTGCACTCTAGTCTGGGCAACAGAGTGAAACTCCAACTCAAAAAAAAAGAAGATTCATTCTGAAATGCAGCTTCTAAACCAGCACTTTTCATATGTGGCAGAACAGGATGAACTTACACTGCTGGACATGGAGAAAACACCATTTCAGGAGTTAGACTTTGTAATCTTAGACTTGAGGGTTTCCTCAATTTCTTAATGATAAAGCAAACTCCTACTGCTACTCCCTTTGCACTTAGTAAAAACTGAAAATAACTGAAATTTTAAACCAGCATAATAGAAAACCACCCCCTACTTCAAGTGCATGAGAAGTCTGCTCCTCTGCTCTGGACTCCAGCCCTGACAGAACTGCCATGCTGTGGGATAACCAGGCCTCCAGCTTGCTGCCCACTGTGTTGCTGCCACAGTGAATCCTGCTTCCCCCAGGGCCTGGCAGGAAAGCACTGCCTTGGCTAGTTTTATGTCAACCGAACACATTCCACTCAATACAAAGCAGCAGAAAGTCCCATTGTTTAAGTTTTTCAGAAGGCAAGGCTTGATGAGAATTTTGTGTCAGTTACATGGTTCCTTTTTACTCTTACAGTAGTATAGTAATCTACTTTTAAACCTGTAATTCTTTCAGCTAGTATCTTTTGCATATCTTTCTCCTTGCTAAGCACTTACACAACTTCTCTAGGAAGGTTTACAGTCTTACTGAGAGAGTAAAAATAATCATAGTACAAAGAGAATCATAGTTAAGTGCTAAAAGAGTGGGAAGACAAGTCCTATATAAGTTTACAGAAAGATGGCCTCAGAAGGGGTACAAATGGTCCTGGAAAGCTCTGTGGTAAAGACAGACAGGGAGGGAACTGGCTACCTACTCAGGGCCACCACATATGCCCGGACATTCAGAGCCCTGCTCCACACCAGGCCCTGGCCAGGTCCACCTTTAAGGTGATAATGACCGTAGCTGAGAAGAGAGAAAAGACCAGTCAGCTCACTGCTGTGTTTCTGCTGCTGCAGCAGAGGGAACAATGCTGCCTTCCTGCTTGAGGTCTGACCTGGTATGTGTGCTGGATGGAATTGTGTCTCTGTCCGTTCATAGGGGAAGCCTGAACAAGGAAAAAAGTATGATAAGCATTTCAAGATGGCAGGCAAGGCTTTTCTGCAAGGAAGACTGTTGTAGGTCATAAATTTCTCATCTCAAACACATTTGCCTTAACCAGGCTCTGGTGAGTTATCCATTGTTTATATCACTTTTTTTTCTACAGAAAACTGGAGAGTATCTTCAACAGTGGCTTCAGCTCTGACTGGACAGTAGAATTCCTAGGAGAGCTTTAAAAAAAAAAACGTAGGCCTAGCCCACAGTAGACTGGCATGGGTATCTGAGCATTGGTAGTCCTTTAAAAACTCCCCAGGGGAGTCTAATGAACAGACAAGATTTAGAACCATTTGTCATCTAGGATTTGTACTTAATAAGTTAATATTTGTAATTAATTGGATTTCACACCTAAGTCATTATCAATAAATGTGTTCAGTATCTAGCTAACAAGAATTTCTAGCATACATTTCTTGATCGAGCATATAAAACTCAAACAATTTCTAATACCATTTTCTAAGCAGTGAGACCAAGCAACTAGTATAAAGTAAGAAATCAAAGACTGGGCATGGTGACCCACACCTGTAATCCTAACACTTTGGGAGGCAGAGGCAGGAGGATTGCTTGAGCCCAGGAGTTCAACATAATGAGACCCTCATCTCTACAAAAAATATAAAAAATTCGCCGGACATGGTGGTACATGCCTGTAGTCCCAGCTACTCGAGAAAAGAAATCAGAGAAGTGCTCCAAATTTACTAAATGCATGAATCTATGACTGTGCTATCTATAAATATGATCCAAGCTGAGTTTACCTCTGTGTACCAATTGTGTATGTACATGTCTGCAGTTGTAACCAGCATGAACACTATGTTTCGACTGTATCCCTAGATTGTATAAGTGTGCTATCCTGTTGTTGAGGTTTATCTCAGGAGCTATGACTATTTCCTTTTCAAGAAAAGTGGAGAGAAAAGATTACAAAACTCTATTAAATCATCCAGAAAGTCCTTGGAATAAAGACTAAAAACTCTTTAAAAAAAAAAGAAAAGAAAGAAAGAGAAAGAAAGGAAGGAAGGAAGGAAAGAAAAAAAGAAAAGAAAAGCGGGAAGTAGGTCAACACGAGAGCTGGCTCTTCTCTTAATTCCTATTATGTCAGACCTCTGGCTCCCTATTACAACCCAGCAGTCGATCTTCAGTAATAGGTGCCTAATAGGACAGAAAATCACAGGCAGAGCACAGGCAGAGTCTCATGTAATTTCAGAGTATAAATATGGATGTAATCTCTGAGAGGTGATTTAAAAGAATTAGCTGGATTGCTACACTTAGTAATCATGGGTTCCCAGTAAATTATCAGCACATATGGAAAAGAGATAGTGGGACAGATTATATGAAATGGAGGCTGCCAAGGAAATAAGACCATTGCACCAAGCAATCGAGTTTACAGAAGCCTTGCTGGTTAAACCTGGAATGTAAAATTCTCCTCCTCCTGATCAAATATGCTTGAATAAACAATGTTCCAAATTTTTGAAGTGATTGCCTTTCATGCCAAAAAAAAAAAAAAAATGATTGAGAGAAAGAAGTCTGAAGTTTCAAAAATCAGCTCAGTCTAGTGTTTATAGGAATTATTTTAATCTTTTGGATATTATTTTGAACATATTTCTTCTATATGTTGTTAATATGAGGCAGTGTAACATAAACAACTATACTAATTTATAACCAGGATAGATCATCTAGCCTTTTTTCCTCAATTTTCCTACTTTAATGCTCTAGGAGCTTTGGTTTTTTATTTTCATTTTTAAGAAAAGAATATTATTGAGCCAGGCTCAGTGGCTCAGCCTGTAATCCCGCGCCTTTGGGAGGCTGAGGTGGGGATTGCCTGAGCCCGCGGGTTTGAGACCCGCCTGGGCAACTTGGCGAGACCTCATCTCTAAAATAAATCAAAAAATCAGCTGGGTATGGTAGCGCGCGCCTGTAATTCCGGCTACTCGGAAGGCTGAGGTGGAAGGATCACCAGATCCCCAGCAGGTCGAGGCTGCGGTGGCTGGGAGCGGCCACTGCACTCCAGTGTGGGCAACAGAGTGAGACTCCAACTCAAAAAAAAAAAAAAGAATATTATTGAAATTAAACATCCTAAATTTATTAGTGAGTTTCTTATGTAAAATGAGTCTAGGCACCCAATACTTACTGACTTAAAAAAAAAAAAGGATTTATGAATATAAAAGGAAAAAAGCTGTATCACATTCAAGCCTGTTTTAATATCCAAAGCTCTACTTATTTTGTGATGAGAATATATGCCCCAAAAACATTTTCAAAGATATATTAATATTAGTAAGAAACTCTCTTTCATTTTTCAACTTAAATGAAATAAATTACAGTGCTTGTTTTACAAGTTTGAATTTTCAAAATGATCTTTAATAAACGACATATTTCTTTATGTTAAACTGAATTCTTTGCTTGAATTGGGTTTATGCATTTTTAAAGCCTTCCGGTATTATGGGACGTTTTTGTTTTTTGATGAGTGCTTTTCATTTAATTATTATGACATGAAGTAGTAAATCTAAAAGAAACCTTCAAAATTCCCAATATGATATTAACTATTTTCCTCCTCAAAAGTAAGTAGTAGTAATGAGCTTTGATTACAACTGTGACAGCATTCTTTAAAACCAGAATGACAGAATAGCATTTTCATCATAAATATAAGTTTTTACACAGATGAGTTGACTATATCAATAAAAGAAAAAAATCTACTTTTTCTTGTTTCCTTTCACAGGCAACGATACCGTCTTTATCCAAGTTACACTGCCCCATGGCCCAAGTTAGTATATTTGGCTTAAGACTCCTAATTCTCGCTTTGGCTTTAAGAATCAAACCAAGTGTCACTTTTCTTGCTGAACTCTTCTTGGGTCTGCAGCACTGGGACATTGCTTGCAGTGTCCTGGAAGCGAGGCCTTCACTTGTGCTATCTTTTGGTCATAAATGATTTGCTTAAATCTATGTATTTTTCACGCTTTTTGTGAAACCTTTGATCTCTTTTAAAAGAGCATATTAAATAAGTGGCTTCCACATTTAACCATGTCTCTTTTCCACCTGTGGAGTTCTAAATATATTATAATGTTCAACTTTGAAAAGCAAGAGCATGCATGCGCGTGGGAATGCTGGCGGCTATGTGCGATTTCTAAGGCACAAACTACACCCAGCCTGGTGTGGCAGAGACTGTAGGCAAATAACTGTGCTGACTTTAGAGCAACTGTCTTGAAATTGGAACTGTTTAAATTGTAGCATAAGCCGGGCTTGGTGGCTCAGCCTGTAATCCTGCGCCTTGGGAGGCTG